GTGTGTGTGTGTGTGTGTGTGTGTGTGTGTGTGTGTGTTTTTGGGGGGTTACATTTTTTATTTGTTTGTTTGTTTGTTTATTGGCTGCAGGTGTCTTGCCTATAAAAGTAATCCCCTCAGAAATGCTTCCCTTTGAGGCAGAAACACAAACCAACCACCTCTCCTTATCCTGTTGGCACAAGAAGGTGGCTTTGCCAGAGCTTAGTTAAGTGGGAGTATCCTAGATGCTGATTCAGGCCTGGGCTGTGGGATCAGCGCCAGGGAACTCCAAGGAGACTCCCCTACCCCAACTGTGGGAACCTAGAGTCATCACTCTACTCCAGAATTTTCTAGTGACTTCGGCCTGTGGATTTGTACCAAAACCACAGTTCATGGTCTCTCGTCTAGGTAAGAGCTGTGATTCTTTTCACTGCAGTGGCGAACCTGAGCTGGGTAAGCCCACTCAGCTTCTTGTTGCGCAGACCTTTAGAAAAATGCTAGACAGGCTGGGGGCCCATGGGAATAAAGGAGAGAATTCTCTTCATCTTGTTCTGAAACCCACAGAGCAGTGTCAAGTATCAAGCCCTTGAGCCCTGGGCCTCCAGTCTGCTCAGCCCCTGCAGCCTCACGGCTCTGGGTGGGGAGGATTGGTTTGCAGGTGGTTGTTGCACGCAGTTAAATGGGTGCTGCGGAACCCTCGCCCTCTTGCGTCCAGCTCTCTTGTGCACTGTAGCTTGATGTCTGGGAGCCTGGGCTATGTTAGCGCCACAGCTGGCCAAGGCAAGGAGTGCGTTTGGTGTTCTGCGTGCCTGTGTATACGTGGGGGTGGAGTGGGGGGCAGGGGTACTGGAGAGTCTGGTACTGCAGGCCTCTGGATTTGGACCCCAGTCCTGGCCTCATTTTGTATCCAGTTTCAAATAACCACGACCTTAAAAGTGAAAAGCACAAGGCTTATACTAACTAAGTATGCCAAAAAACTGGAAATAAGAATATTTCCATCATCCCGGTGATAGCACTTTCAGGGGCCCCTTCCTTGAACGAAATTTGTTGCGACTGAGTATTTTGCAGGCAACAGAGAGCTCACACTGGGCTCAATCTTCTCCTGACCCCTCCCCTGTGGATGTTCCTGCAAATTCATCGGAGAAGATCTGAGAACACTGAATGGCAGAAATTCGGGACAGGGGAGTTTTCCAGAATGTGAAGTGCGATCTTAAAATTACGAATTGAATTTTGTTAAAGTACATCCAGGGCAAATTTGAAGATTAGGTGGAACCATGGATGAGCCATCCCTCCCGCTTTCCCAGGGTCCAAATTAATTTCTCCTCCCAGCGAAATGACAGGGCTTGGGAATGTGCCTGACAGCTAAAGGAAATTGTTTTTGTTTTTTTGTTTTATTAATTCGTTTGTAGCTACCGAAAAGCACCCGCGAGGGGCCACCAAGTTGGTGCAAGACGGAAGCAATCCT